CATTAACCATGTTTAGAACATTGTAATAAATTTGGTGGAAAGTAGCTAAACATGCTAAAATGTTAGCCTTGTCAAAGTGGTTTGACATTTAGCTTAAGCTAAATAAGCGCTACCTAGCATGTTGACTTTTCCTATCTTTAAACATGTTTTATTTATTATTTTAGCATAAAACTGCATGTTTTTAATTGTTCATGGAGTTATTTAAAAGTTCTCTTTTCTTTGTTTCATTTTGACATCAAAGACAGGATTTTATACATGAACCCTTTTGGAAATATTTTGAACTCATATTACAATGGATAAACAAACATTTATTTTTACTCTGTTGGTTTTCATGGAGTGCTTTTTAGGGCTCCGATGTGGGTTTCTGGCGGCATGTTTTCCATCTAATCCCATCATTGTTAGCTGTGAAAATGTCCCAGTTCTGAGCTTGTTATGAAACACAAGCAGTGGTGTATTTTTGTACAAGGCAGACTGCAGTGGGAGCATTTAAAATGCAATTTCTACAAGAAACAGAAGGCTTGCAGAAAGCACACTCAGACCTGCTGAAAAGCATTTGCACAAATCTTTCAAAACTATTAGCTTAAATTTGGGTTATAACAGGAATTGATAGAAAAAAATAAAATTTAACTGGATTTTAAAATACTGAAGGTAGGCCTTTAACTATGAAGTTGGAATTTTTATTTTTTTTATATAATCTTGACAAAAATAACCTGATTTTATTGCTGTACTATGCAGTGATTGGTACCACATCCTTAAAAAATGATAACCTATATCACTTGGACATGTAGAGAAAATAGCAACATGTAACAGGTTTAGTGCAGATTTGTTGGGTTAAAGTTTCAGTTAATTCAGTTAAAGTTTCCATACAACATTTCCTGTCCTGCCCATCAGCTTCCACTCTGTTCCTGCTCACAATTCATTCGTATCGTCTGCAGTGTTCGTTTTACACCTGCAGGCTTTTTTTAAGGATTTTAGAAACACTTAAACTCTGACAGAACCAGCAGAAATGGTTTTTGCGCAGGTGGAGAGGATTTCACACTCCAACACTGCATCCGTCAGAGCTATTTGAAGCCACTCAGCAGGCTTTTAAAAGTCACTGTTGTTGGCAGCAGATGACAGAAATGTCAAGGACAGAATATAATGCATGGCTATTTATGTATACATTTCTTTTAAAAAATCAGATTATGGTAATTTACGTTTAACTCTGGTCATGGTATTGTTGTCCAATAAAGCTTTTTTTTTTAAAGAATCAGCACCCAGATAGGAGCACCGAGGCTAAGTGTGTTGAATCATTTACAAAACAACAATTAGGCCAGCTGCTGTTCTGCAGCTTTCATATTGGAATCAGAGAATAATAAGCAAGTGGGTATAAATTTTTGATGAGTAGAAATCCAACACCATGGCTGGGTGTAAGAAACAACTGCGGTGAAGCCGGACTTCGTATTTATATTTTTTTAATCTGCTGTTGTTCGGTAACTGGGACCTGAAAAACCAGTGCCTCTGGTGACAACTTTACAGAAACAGTTTTCATATGATCGCCTTGTGACTACTAAATTCAGAAACACGTGAGCTGAAGACCTCATTTCAATTTTTAAAAGAAGAGAGGCATATTGGCCGTTCAAACCTGCCTGACGTTGTGAGACATTTTTTTCACGCCGTCAAACATCTACGCTTCATGCTGCAGTTAGAAATGCATTAAGAGGTGAGTAAAAATGCTGGGAGAACGACCAGTTGGGTTGGGTTTGAGCTGAGAGTCGTTTTCTCTTTCAGCTGAAAAAAGCTGCTTGCAGCAATAATGTTCAAAATCCCAAGATAGACTTAAAACTGTCCCAGGATTACATTTAAACATATACACACATAAGAAACACACACTGAGGCCTTAATAAATATTTGACTGCAACATTTTTCTTAGTGCGAATACGTTCTGAGGCAGCTCTGAATATGATTACTGATATACTGCATAATAACACCCAAAAATGTCGAACCTATTACCAGCCTCTAAACAAATCACGGTTATCCGCCGGCTGGGAGACATTTCTGTGCACAGTGAACACTTCTACCTGCAGCGAGGCTTTATTTAATCCACATCCTCATTTATCCCACCCTGATCCCGTTTCTACAACGTGCTGATATTTTTAAACGCGGCAATTACGTTCCGACAATCTGACGAGCCCTTCCAACCTTCAGGTAGACGCTTGTTCTGAAACTAAAGCTGAAACTAAAAGTTTTACTGAGGGTCAGAGCAGTAGATCATGAGATGATATTCTGAATGCTTTTAAAGGAGTAGTTCAGATCTTCTGATGTGGGGTCCTGTAGGAAGGTTACAAGGAGACCAAAGGGGATTGCTGGCTCTTAAAAATTCTTAAAACCCCTTAAAAGCTCTATAAATCTTTCTGGTTCCACATTTCTGTGAACATGTTATGGTGTGACCACAAATCTTGATTGCAACTTTGTACTACCAATGAGACTTTGGGCAGGACTTCAACCTTTAGTCTGGTGAGCCTGATAGTGATGGCACCAACACCAGGAAAGCAAGCTGGTGTTTGCTACCTTGGGGGAGCTGAATCAGGGAGGGGGGAAAGTACTGGTCTCTGGTTAGACAGAGCACTGAGCTGAAACAGATTTTCAGCAGAAAATAAAGGTCACTTAAGTAGCGTCGAGCGGCAGACACACGAACTAGCAGGTAACGCGGTTAGCACCAGTAAAGCTAGCCTAAGAACCTTAGAAGCTGAGCTAACTAGCAGCAGCTATGTGAGCTCAGGTTTAGAGGTGACTATTGCGAGGTAAAGGGTGATAGAACTGAGTAATGACGCTGGTGACTCCGAACTTATAGGGTGAAGGCGGAGCCTGTCACCCGACGTTCAACGTCACCACGTCACCGGTCTAAAGACGTGATTAGAGGTGGCTTCAGCCAGGCGCACGAGGGCACGCGTGTCCTGTATACAACTGTGTGTTGTACTGAGTGAAATTACTGAAAAGGAACTTCCTATTTTTCAGAACCACTAACTTAATGCACCTTTACGCCATCTTAACATTTTTCTTTTTCATTTACCAAGACAGAAGTTTTCTTTGCTGTTCTGTCTTAATCATTGTGAGAAACACATTGCAAAAACAATTTGGCTGATTGGTTAGTTGGTTGACAAAATGGTTGGTTGCCTGACTAGTTGGCAGACTGGTTGGTTGGTTGGTTGGTTGGTTGGTTGGTTGGTTGGTTGGTTGGTTGGTTGGTTGGTTGGTTGGTTGACAAACTGCTTGGTTGGCTGACTAGTTGACTGAATGATTGAGTGAATGATTAGTTAACTGACTAGTTGGCTGGCTGGTGTTTAGTTGGTTGACTGACTAGTTGGCAGACAGGTTGGTTGGTTGATGGACAGAATAGTTGTCTGACTGACTGACTGGTTGGTTGGTTGACTGACAAACTGAAAAGTTAGTTGACTGACTAATTGATTGACTTGTTGGTTGACTGACTGATTGATTGATTGACTTGTTGGCTGACTGGTTGGTTGGTTGGTTGGTTGGTTGGTTGGTTGGTTGGTTGGTTGGTTGGTTGGTTGGTTGGTTGGTTGGTTGGTTGGTTGAAGGACAGAATAGTTGTCTGACTGGCTGGTTGGTTGACAAACTGAAAAGTTAGTTGACTGACTGATTAATTGACTTGGTTGACTGGCTAGTTGGCTGATTGGTGGAAGGACTGAATTGTTGGCTGACTGATTAGTTGGCTGACTAGTTGGTGAATGACTAGTTGGCTGGCTGACTGGTGGTTGGTTGGTTGACTAAATAGTTGGCTGACTGACTGGTGGTTGGTTGGTTGCAGTGGTGGGCATCACTAATCTAAAAATTAGTTCCACTAGCCCTAAAACACTAACTCAAATAATTAGGTCCCCTAATTCTAAAGCACACTGAACGTTTTAGCAAAAGCTAATTCTAAAGCACTAAAATAACCCAGTCAACCCATGAACATTCTTCAACAGACAACATGAGTCACATGTTGCTCTCTTAAGACTTATCATTGACATTCCACAGCCTTATTTGTGTTCAAATATTGCCAGTATACAGTATTGTCACCTAGTGGATAAGTGACACACATATGAACAAAATGTGCAATAGCTTTCACCATCAGCTGTTAACATTAACGTTGATCAGTAACATTTAAAGACCTCAGCTAGTGCTTCTAAATTTAGCACATAAATTTAGCAAGTGCTAATCCACTAATAAATTTTAAAATTAGCAAAAGGTAACAATCATGAAATTAGTTCCCCTATTAGTGCTTTAGGGGAACTGTGCCCACCACTGGTTGGTTGACTAAATAGTTGGCTGGCTGACTGCTGATTGATTGATCTTTAATCAGCAAAAGAAACATTACCTACTGGTAATGTGTCTCTCTTGGACACAGAGCAGAAAATGTAAACACATTGATATATTTTTTTGCTTCTATAGTAAATCAGTGTTTTTATGTTGTCTGTTTGTGGCTCTTGTTCTATATTTTTAGCCTAAAACTAGAGACAATAATAACCTTTCACCCTGTGTTTTAAGTGAAGGAGCTGAACTACTCTATTAGCAGAGGGAATATAATGTGCTGGAAGGAAGAAAAAAACACCTACAGGTCTGTCTGCACTTGGCCCACATACTGCCTGTTAGAGACTTCCCCACAGCCAACTCTCCTCCTGCACACTGCTGCAGGATCTTACTATCCGCTCCTCCTGGGGATGTAGGAGTGCCGCAGCAGCCATGTAATAACTGGGCCTCACTGTTTGAAGGCTGCAGCATGTGTGCTAAGACAGGGCGGAACTAGAGGTGTGGTACATCACTGCACTGCTTATCCCTCACTCATGCGCCTGATGGGAAGCTTAAAGCTGGAGGGAAATGAGGTGTAAAAACCCAAAAAGAGGTGTCTCATCCCATCCCTGAAAGTAGAAAGGTCTCCCCTCCATTAGAGAGGGTTAATGGAAGGAGACTGTAGTCTGTGTGTAAATATGAACACATACAATGTCCTTGTGCTGCAGGCATCTGCAGGAAATACAGTCGACCCACGAGGAAGAGCTGGAGAGATGAAACAGCAGAAGTACGAGGACTCAGAAAGGTACAAAAGTATTGATTCCTCTGACACGCCCTCTATGCTTAAAGGGGCAATATCATATAAAATCAACTTTTTTGAGTTTTATATCATGTTATGATATTATACTCTCATAAAAAACATGCCCAAAGCCTTGCTTTTACTCATTCATGCATGTTTGAGAAATCCTGCAGCATTTTTAGGAAGCCATGCTGAGGAGCAAAACGACAGGTGGGGACCAGAAACACCTTTTGGTACCAGAATCGCCCCTGGGACGTGTCTTTAAGCCGAGCTTCCTCATCACTGAGCACGCCTCCCCACCCCCCACCCCACACCCCGCCCATGACTCCTGCAGGCTCTCGGCAGTAACAGAGGAAACTGAAAGTGAAACTTAAGCTGTCTGCTGCTCTTAACACTACTGCTCACTCAGTGAAGCTCTTTTCAGATTCAAAATACCTTTGAGGAAATGTATTTTCAGATGCCAAGTAAAATGAATTATAGCGCATGAGCGACCACCACCCCCGACCGAAACTTACGGGACAGAAGCGGAAGATGGTTCAGACAGAGGCCAATTTTAAGGCGTTTGGAAGAGGAAGTGATGAGAAGATAAGTTTATTTTCTATTTAAACATAAAAACAGCATTTTAATAACAGCTAAAGGTGACATAGATACTTTATTATGGTATAATATTTAAATGTATGCCTGAGAAACACATAATATTGCCCCTTTAAACACCAAAGCTGCATGATATATCGTTTAAACATGGTTATCGCAATGGACGTGTTCACAATCATCACACTGTAAGTCCTGTGATGTTGGAGGCATTAAATCAACGTGTTATCTGGGGACTAAACCATAAGTTATTGAACTAAACCGTCACATGTTACTGCTTTTATTTTGACGGGTTGGAAAGTGGGCAGATTCGTGCCAAGGAAAAGCTAAAAGTTTAATTTTGTTGCAAAACTTCTAGGACAACAATGGCAACATTTTTCAGAGATGTGTGGGTGAATTCTCGAACTACGGAGGAAGACGACGAGGATCTTGACGAAAATGAGGATGAGGAGCAAATTCGCAAAGAACTGGAGGAAGAGGGGTGAAATACAGTTAGCATGGATGCTAATATTAAAGCGTGACGGAAACCAGGGTTCATGCCTGGTCTTAAAAAGTCTAAAAAATTGTCTAAAATTTGAAAATCAAAATTTTAGGCCTAAAAATGTCTTTAAAAGACCCAGATTTTCATCCAAGGTCTTATATTTAATTTTGTCAAGTCTTAATTTTTTTCTACTTTTGATCATTCCTGAGAACCGTTGGCTGCATAAATAAAGTTAAGCGTCGTAATCAGAGGTTGACATGATCAGTCTTCATGAAGTGCTAAGTTTGCTACTGGTCCTGATTAAACTACAAATCCTGTGATAACTGCAGGCAAAAATGGCTCAGTTTACTTCCATGTTTTTGACCTCTTTCCCGCTACAACCCCCCACATACAGCGGCTTATTTACCTGCTCAAAAAATAGAAGTTCAGTCATGTCCACTGCTTGTTGTTTAAACATGGGAAAGTGTATTTTCAATGAGACTTGATATCAGTGATTTTTTTCACTTGGTTGAAAACCGATAATTTAGTGTTCTTGTATTAAAATTAAATATTCTTTAATAACTAAATTGATAGCAATAAAAGGTTTCTATTATAAAATTTCTGGGACCATTTGAATGTTTCTGTTAATGCATCAATTTGGTCTTAAATGTCATTACTAATGGTCTTAAATGGTCCTTAAAAGGTCTTAAATTTAACTTACTGAAACCTGCATGAACCCTGGGAAACAGAAACTAACAGACACAGAGGCAACACGTTAGGTGGTAAAACGTAATTCACATTTGCACATGATGGAAAGAAACATGTACTCAGTCACAATAAAAGCAAGCAATAAAAGAATAAGATTAAACATAAAATATGGACAAAACACATTTTTAACACAAACAAAAAAAAGGTAGGTGTATCAACAAGATGGCAGCAGAGCTTAAAGCATTATTCAAGTCATCTGTTGAAAATTCCTGTATTAAATAAAATAATGAAAGTACAATAATGATTGAGCTCATAACGCTCAGATTATGTGTTGTGAATGACTCCAAGCTACTACCACCACAAATTAGCTCCCTATCTGTATTATTGGCTGAGATAAACGTCATTTTTGTGTTTCTTGAACTGGATCAGCTCCAAAAGCTAACTGATTGCAGATGTTCATCCAAAGATTACTTTAATTAAAATCCAACCGGAGAGCTGTGAGATATTCGGCTAACGTCTGATCGCGTGTTCACGTTTCGGCGGCAGACGACTGAGCGACCGGTTGAAGCTTTAACTCAGCAGCTCTTATCACTTCTCCTGCACACACGCGCAGTCTGTCAGAGTGAAGGCTCTGCAGGAAACACGGAGCGCACACACCGTGTCTGACAATGACAGCTCATCTTATCCCGATCGTCTGCAGCCTCACAGTCGACCCAACGGGCTGGCGTAGATCAAAATGTCCTCTGCGTATTTACAGCAGCTGTGGGACCACAGAGCTACGGCAACAACAGAGCAGCTCCCACCGTCTGCATGACGGGTGACGTACCATCAGGATGGACAGCTCTTCACACGGACCCCTTCAGAACCAGAACTCTGTGTTTCATATGGTCCAGCTTCTACCTGGAACTCAGGTGTTCTGTGTGATCAATTAACTGATAGTAAAATTTAATAAGAGCAGGCCACAGAACGCTTATAAATGTTCCATAAACCAAAGCCACCCTGTGTCTCAGAGAGGACAAAGACAGCCAGGGACAGGACTAGAAGACACCTATAAGAAGTTTACATCCACCCATTATACACAATATCATACTGATGTCATAAAGTCAGAGCTGTTTGTATTGTGGAGTGATTAGATAAGAGCCACCAGCAGCACAACAGACCCACAGCATGATGCTAACACCTCCATGCTTAAGTTTAAAGGCTTCACATTATTGTCTCACGCGTGGACTTTTTGTCTCTTTGGTCAAACACAAACCTTTGTTTCATCTGACCATAAATATCTTCTCCAGAAGACACGTGGCTCGTCCAGGAGAGACACACTTGAAGACAGAGACACTGGGGTTCTTGAGGACAGAGATGATGATGTTCCTGAGGACAGACACTGGGGTTCTTCAGGATAAAGACAATCTGGTCCCTGAGGACTGAGACACTGAACATCATCAGGACCGAGACAATGGGGTCCCTGAGGACTGAGACACTGGTGATCTTGAGGACAGAGCCTGAGATTCCTGAGGACAGACACTGTGGTTCTTCAGGACTGAGACATTCTGGTCCCTGAGGACCGAGACACTGAAGATCATCAGGACAAAGATATTCTGGTCCCTGAGGACAGAGACACTGAACATCATCAGGACAAAAACATTCTGGTCCCTGAGGACTGAGACACCAAAGATCATCAGGACAAAGACAAAACCGGTCCCTTAGGACTGAGACACTGAACATCATCAGGACAGAGACAATGGGGTCTCTTCTGAGACACCGAAGATCATCAGGACAAAGACATTCTGGTTCCTGAGGACATACACACTGGTGATCTTGAGGACAGAGACACTGGTGATCTTGAGGACAGAGACACTGGTGATCTTGAGGACAGAGACACTGAACATCATCAGGACAGAGACAATGAGGTCTCTTCTGAGACACCGAAGATCATCAGGACAAAGACATTCTGGTCCCTGAGGACTGAGACACTGGTGATCTTGAGGACAGAGACACTGGTGATCTTGTGGACAGAGACACTGGTGATCTTGAGGACAGAGACACTGGTGATCTTGAGGACATACACACTGTGATCTTGAGGACAGAGACACTG